CTCCTCCAAATCACCCTACTTTCAACAAGATTGTTATACTCTTACCTGATTCTGCATGGTGCCAAGTTTGCAAACTCAAAACAAAAAGAAGACTTCATGAACGTGGATATATTTTAAGTGCCTTTCAAATGAGGAAAACATGGGACTGCAGGATGGTCATTGCAGAGGCAGGAGCATTCGAGGATAAAATTCCTGAGCATATCAGGTATCGTGCATTGTACATTATAGTTCATTGGTTGACTGCTACAGACTGGTTTAAGAAATTGAGCTCAATTTTTTTCCTATTTTTTCAGTATTGAACTTTTGATGGCATGTGGAAACAAACTGGTTTCACCAAAGTTGCATGAGGATCAGGAACTGAGTGGCTTTTTGATTCACAAGGTATTCAGATCAAGGGCAGTATACATTAGGCCATCAAGCAATGTAAGTGAAGGAAGCACTCACTCAAGGTATCATCTGACCCCCCACTTCTCCCATCACCGCAGGTTTCTTCTTCGTCAAGAGGAAGGACGAGGGCGTACAAGCCTGCATAGACTACCAAGGCCTCAATGCTATGACACAAACGCCAGGAACCCTTACCCCTGATGTTAGAGCAGCTTAGGGAAGCTAAAGTGTTCACCAAGCTTGACCTGCGGAGCGCATATAACCTGCTGCATACCTGGGAAGGGGATGAGTGGAAGACGTCTTTCATCACTACTACAGGGCAGTATGAGTACGGAGTTACGGTAAAATACCGGCTCAGCCTCTGAGGCATGCACACGCTGAGTTACGGCAAACATCGGCTTAACCTCTGAGGCACTCACAAGCTCAGATACGGTAAGTGTCGGCTGAGCCTCTTTGGAGTTATAGGTCGCCGGGCCTGAACAGTTGTCTAGGCTGACACTGTATTATATTGTAGGGATTTCCCACCTTCTGAACCGAGGCTTATGTAGCAGACCCGAAACCGGATCACTTGAAACCTTTTGTTATGGAAGTGGATTAATCCATGGAGTGGGTGTGGTGCTCTCCTAACAGGCGGAGAATGGAGTATCACATCCCTGTGCCTTCTTTTCAAAAAAGTTGTTGCCTGTGGAACACAATTATGACATTGGAAATCGAGAACTGCTAGCCATTAAGGAAGCTTCGGAAGAGTGGCGCCACTAGCTAGAGGTAGCTACACATCCATTTCAGGTCCTGACCGATCATTGCAACTTGGAATACTTAAGAATGGCCAAGCGTCTCAATCCACAGCAAGCCAGGTGGGCCCTTTTCTTCACTCAGTTTGACTTTACCGTATCCTAGATCCCAGGGAAGAATAATATTAAAGCTGACACTTTAATATTCAATTCGAACCCCTGACAACGTCCAAAGAACCAGTTCCGATCCTGCCTGCATCCTGCTTTGTACGCCCTATCTCTTGGGACCTAGATGCCACTTTGCAGACACCTTCCCCTGATCAACAACCACCAACTGGTCGCTGAACCGGAGGTATGTGCCAGCCCCACACCGACAACCAATCCAATCCACACGTCCCCCATCTAGGGGTGGCCACAACTGTCTGCCCGGTGAGACGGCGGTGTTGGTGGCTGAACTGGAGTGAGGAGGTGGAAGAGTTCATCCTCTGTTGCCCAGTGTGTGCTCACAACAAGGTCGACAACCACCGACTAACCCTTGCTCGTGCCTTAACACCTCTGATCTCATGTGTCCCTGGACTTCATCACTGACCTTCCTCCATCCAGACAGTAACAGACTGATTCTCAGGTATGTGCTGAATAATTCCTTTGGCTAAACTGCCCTCAGCTCTGGAGCTCACTAAGGTTCTGCTGACCTGGACTTTCAGGCATTATGGAGTGCCCGAAGACATCGTATCGGATAAGGAACTTCAGTTCACTCTCTTCTAGCTACCACCCACAGACTAACGGAGCTACAGAACGTGTCAACCAAGAACCTTGAAGAACCTCCAGCTGCTGTGTGAGGATCATCTGTCACAATGGGCTTGTTACTTATCCTGGGTAGAGTATGCCCACAATTCACAACCCCAGTCGGACACAGGTCTCTCTCCTTTCCAGGCCGTCTTGGGTTACTAACCCCCCTTGTTCCTGTGGGACCCTCAACACTGTGGGATCCCGACCATGGACGAGTGGTTCTAAGGTTGCCGACACATGTGGCGCCGGATGTGCCACATCCTATAAACCAGAGCACGCTGGCAAAAACACCAGGCAGACTGACACTGATGGTCCGGTCCTGTCCTTCGACAAAATCAGTGGGTTTGGTTATCCACCAAAAATCTCCAGCTCCCAGAATGTCATAAGTTGGCTCCTTACTACATTGGACCATTCTGAATCCTGGTTACTTATGAAGCCTGGTTGCTTAATTTCTTCAGCTTCTCCAGATCTACCATCTCTCTCCTGTGTTTCACATCTCCCTTCTCAAACCCATTCTTTGTCGTAACAAAAGGTATATGTTGTCTCCTGGTTGATCTAAAAATGATTGCTAGCTTGTACATTTGACTGAACTGGATTTGAAAATATTGGGCATGTTTGAAATAGATTTATTTTGATTCTCAAAGACATCAAACATATTTCACGTTTTTCCCTCCTAGATTTCATCCTAACTTCTGCTGGCATCTTGCGTTTTCTAGCTTTTTTTCTGCATTGGTGAAACAAGTCATCCCTTTTCCCCTGCTAGTCTAATAAAATCTTAGCTGTTTCTTATTTGTAATCGTAATTATTGTATATAACTTAAAATATAATGAATTTCCCCATTTCAAAGTGTTTCATTGTTAGTCCACAGCATGGTTCACTGCTTTGTTCTCTTCTTTTTTGAATGTTCTTAATAGAGTTGTACAATTAATATATTAATTGTTTATTCGGATCCATTTGGGGTATAAACAATCTGATAGGGGATTTTGAACTAAACTTTTCTCATAATATTTAAAGAGTGACACTACAGCACAATGGAATTGCCATATTGGATTGCTCACTAATTTATTCATTTGCAGTGCTGGCTAGTGAACTGACAATGATGAACCACGTGTGTGTGTGTGTGTGTGTGTGTGTGGGGGGAGGGGGTTTCTTACAAAACTGTTTTACTTTAAAGTCCAATTGAAAAACAAATTACAAATGGTCTGTTCCAAATAACAACAGCCTCAAAGAAATGCAGAAACTTATATTCTCATGGATGCACAAATCCCAATCTTAAATGCAACATAATCTGCAACAATGGTCACCCCTTCTGCCTACAGAAAAACTGCTTATTCAGCACCTGTTAGTTTTCCAGGGGCTGTCAGTTATATTAGGCCACCCCTATAGGAGGATACTGTGGTAGAAGTTTCAAAGAAGTTGATTTGTTTAAGAGTTTGACAAAACTTTATTATCACAAAACTTTGGGGGAACAGACACTCAGCAGTTTCTCATGCATCTTGTGATCTGCTCCCCGAACAACAATTACACACATCTATTATAGTAAAACCATGCCAGTGTACAGACAGTTCAAGGAGGGTTTGGATATCTTTGGACAGCAGCTACTTCTGCCTTTATCAGTTGAAGGCAGGGTCAACCTGTAGAAGCCGATTGTTCTCATGGTTTCACTAACTCATCTCGACAAGCTGTTTTCAGTTACTTTCTCCATCGTACTTCCACTATATTCCCTAGTGCCCTTTTCTACTTATCCTTGACATACAGTATCACATCAGCACAGAAATGTCTATTATTGGTATCTATAACAGTTCGAACACCTTGGATCATGGTTGCACCTTTATCCGGTCTTTTTACAGATTAAGCTATCATATGTTAGTTCCTCATAAAATGCTTCTAATTTTAAAAATGAAAAAACCCATTACTTAAGCAAGCTTACATTATTGCATTACATGTATAGTATAATAACCATTCTAAAGCAGCAATTAATCATTTGTAGTCATTGTAGTTAAATCATCGGTGTCATTATGAATTTCTTTGGTAATTACTGATTGAAATTACATTGTATTTGCAAATCTATTGATTTTTCTACCACAATACCACTCAACAATAATTAAACAAGGACAGCGACTGGATGGATGTCAATTGGGGTACCGTTTGGAGTTCAGAGGGTTTTCTAAATAGAGGCACCCGATGTCAGTAGATGACATTTCTAAATTTAAAAAAAAATAAAAAGCAGATCTAGCTGGTAACTATTATACTTAAATATTAATACATCAAACCAGTACCTGGGTTTCCTACACAGAGGTACCCAAAGTCAGTACCAGGCATCTCTAAATTAAAAAAAAAAAACTGAAATCTGTATACAAACACCTTACCATCCATTATTAATTATTTTCCTTTCTAACAAACAGTATTTGTATAAAGAAGAGGAAAGACCAGCAAAATAAAATAAAGATGATAAAATTCCCTAATTAACAGCAAAAAGGGAGAACCTGTACATCCGACCAGGAAAGATTATTGAAAACCAGACCTAAGAGTCAAATAAAATTAAACCAGTATTTGACATCTCTCTCACTTACCCAGAACAGTGATCACTAAGCGTTCAGATAAATGGTACCGCAGGGTTCTGGTGTTATGAGCCCAGCAGGTATAATTACCACTCTGACTCCCCTTAATATTCATCAGCTGGAGTTTATCACCCCTTTGGCTCAGCAGTGTGTCATTAAGAGCCCATTGAAACTGTGCAGGAGGTTTGGACTGAGCTGAGCAGGACAGGATGAGGCTGGTTCCTGAGGTGAATATGGGCCCTGGAGGACTCACAGTTACTGCAACGTTATCGGGTCCAACTAAAACACATGTATTAAAAAACACAAAGAACAAACTCAGCTATACAATTTTTGGCATACTGTATGAAAACATTCATGCAGTGACCTACTTTGAGAGCCTCAAGAAAATCTATCTGCACTAGTGATCAAGCAGGCAAATTAATGCAAATATGGGTGGGTAGGTAGGTAGTTAGACTGTACTAGGCCCCATGAAGAAATTACTTTAAATTTCATTTAAATTTAATAAGCACACTTATAGTGTAACATAATCAGCTGCTGAATAACAAATTGAAGCTTGACTGAGAAGGATAGCAGACTAATAGCACATATACCAATAAAATCAAGATAAAAACAATATTATTAGCTGGTGTTAGATTAGATAGGTATGGGCAACTTGAGCAAAGCATGCATGAAATAATCAAACAAATTCAAGTAAAACATTGACAACTTATCAGTGAGTTATATATACAGCATATACAGTCATGTGAAAAAGAAAGTACACCCTCTGTCAGTTATAAAGATTTACATATCAGGACATAATAGAAAATCATGTGGTCCTTAGCATGTCTTAAAGTAAAATAAATACAAACTGTATATGAATAACAACACATGGGTGTGAATGCAAAGTTGCAAACATGCAAAGTTGTATTTGAACAAACTACATGACTTTTGGAACAATGTCCTTTGGACAGATGCGACCAAAGTGGAGATGGTTGGCCATAATGTACAGTGCCACGTTTGGCGAAAACCAAACGTGGCATATCAGCACAAAAACATCACACCAACCATCAAACACGGTGGAGGAGGGGTAATGATTTGGACTTGGTTTGAAGCCATAGAACCTGGGCTCTTTGCAGTCATTGAGTCGACCATGAACTCCTCTGTATACCAAAGAATTGTACAGTGAAATATGAGGCCATCTGCCCGACAGCAACGGGACAATGATCCCAAGCACACCAGCAAATCTACAATAGAATGGCTGAAAAAGAAAAGAATCAAGGTGTTGCAATGGCCCAGTCAAAGTCCAGACCTCAAGCTGATTGGAATGCTGGGGGGGGGACCTTAAGAGAGATGTGCATAAATGAAAGCCTGCAAACCTCAATGAACTGAAGCACTTTTGTAAAGAACAGTGGGGTAAAATTCCTCCACAATGATGCGAGAGACTAATAAAGTCATACAGAGAATGATTACTTCAATTTAATGCTGCTGAAGGTGGTTCTACAAGCCAGTTGTTCACATACAGCTTCTCCATTTTGGCTTCATTTTTGTCTAAGTAATGACATGGCTAAATCTTATGTTCGTTGTTTTACACCTAAGGTTAGTTTTAAATAATTTTAGAACCTGGTAAGGACAACATGATTTTTTTTTTTAATGTCCTGAAAACCGCAGAACTGTAACTTTCTTTTTCACGACTGCACACATTTCTGATTTATTTAAACAGATCATGCAATTTCTTTGTCAGTGAAGAAATCCTATTTCAAGTAGTCAGACTGAAAGGAAATTGATCAAACTCACAGTTTATGTTAATGCTGATAGCCTTTCTGGTGGTATTACTGACGATATTGGTCACACTGCAGTATATTGGCTCCTGATCAAATCTCAAAACAGGACTAATGGTGAAAGTGCGATTGTCAGCACTCAGATGAACTCGTTCACTGACTATGATGTCAGAGCTGCCGTTGAGCCAATGGAATGTGGGAGAGGAACCAGAGGCGGAGCATGTCAGGCTGACGGAGTCATTGAACTCCACTAGCTCAGTGGCATTGGCTTGTATTATGACATCAGACACTGGTTCTGTAGATTTGAACACAGAGATAAATATGTGTGAGCTTTGCATTATGGTTTGTGCTGCTTTGTGCCAAAAAGTATAAAATATTTAATGATGAAAATCCTCATCAGTCAAATCTGGAAAATCGATTTTTTAATTTAAATTCAGAAGTGCAAACATCTCTTTACTCATCTTGAACACCTTATGACACATTTTTTTCTCATGCCGTATTTTCAAATTGTGTCAAACAGAATCTCTCTAGCTGCCCCTACCTGCTTCACCAACTTACTCTGCCTGAAAGACAGTCACATCCCCAAGAAATTCACAGAAATAATATGGTCTGGCTACAAAATGAACACATT